GTTGCTCAAGCAGTAGTTTGCCATAATCAGAAGTGTCTGGACGCTGATGGTAACCACTTTGAGCACCTCCTGTAATTGCAGAAGTCAAACGTGACTTGTATTCCTCTTTTGTTATCAGTGTATATTGAGTATTATAATTTTAATACAGTTTTTTCCTTTATTAAAATGTGTATACATGTTTTTGGCACCCTCTGTATTTTGAAGGTTAAGCCAATAGTGTTTGCTGCCAGAGTGGATCTAAGTGTGAGAAGGAAAGCAGTCAAAAAAGAGAGCACCAAGGTTTTTGGTGTGAGCATCAAAAAGAGGAATCTGCCATTAATTGACATGGAGAAGGGAGAACAAAGCCTCACACCCTGACATACCTGAGCAGGGGCATAGCAGTGTAGAGAAAGGGAAAAAATGGGCCTCCTCGCCCATGGGAGGTGCATAAACTGAGTGGAGTCCTACGTCTAAGTCTGGGAAGAAGGCTAGATGAGGAACAAGGGGTTAGGGGAGATGAGAGCGAACGAGCAGGAGGTGGTATGCATGTATCCTGGAGCAAAAAGAAAAAAAAAGGACATATATCTCCATTGGTCCAATAGGTCATAGAGTTCCACAATGCAACTAACCTTTAAGGAAATTTACCACTTGATGTAAAGTATCAAAGGATATTCACAATTATTTGAAAAGGCTATCATATACTCCTACAGTTTTCCAACTACTTATCTGTGTGAGGCTAAATTTTCTTCACATCCTTCAGCCTAAAAAGCATATCATACCAGGTTGAATGAAAAAGCAGATATGAGAATTTAGCTGACTTCCAGTAAGCTCGACATTAAAAAGATGGGCAAAAATGTAAAACATGCCACTCATTTCACTAGACTATTTTGAAAATAGTTATTTTCCATAAACAATGTATTTGTTAACATGTAATGGGCTTATTACTTCTAAATTATTTAATCAAAACACATTTTGAAAATGTCTCAGTTATAAATTCTAATATGGTAAATATTGACAGGTATAACACATAAACAGCACTTTTTAGGGTCCTCAAGTTTTAAGACGATAAAGGTGTCTTGAGACCATAAAGCCTGAAACCTGCTGGTCTAGAGGATGCTGAAGTTTCCCTCTGGTGCCAAGACTAATGAACCCTCTAATCCATGACAATGCACCTGTCTAAAAGCTACTAAATATTCAACATATGCGCCATAACATATTGTATATAACAAATACCTAATTTCCAGATTGCTTAATGTTAAATTAGTCCTCTAAAAGTAAAATGAATTTGGCGGAGAGTAAGTTCATTTTCCCAGTTTAGTTCATATAGACAGACAACAATTAAAAAGTTTTTAAATCATGATTTCAAAATTTAAAAATAATTACCAAATTGTTATTAAACAGTCTACTGAATAGCAAACAGTACACACTTCTGTACATAACTTGTAACTTCAAGTCATTACTTGATTATAATATCATCNCTTGGGCCAGTGAATCAACATCCTCCACAACTAGACTGAAGAACAAAACAACAGCAACTTGTCTGTTCCCCTTCCCCCGATTCCCCAATAAAATCTTAAAAAAAAAAAAAAAGAATTCCTTCAAATCAATAATAAAAAGGCAGATAATTGCTTAGAAAAATGGGCAAAAGACTTGAACAGCTGCTTCATAAAAGAACTGGCTGTTAAACAACTGAAAAGGTGCTAGTACGTCATTAGTTACCAGAGAAATGCATATTAAAATCACAATGTGATGCCTTATGCAAGCACCTGAAAGACTATAAAATTAAAGAGATGCAAAGTACCAAGCACTATAGTTGGTGAGAATATCAAGCAACTGGAGCTCAGACACCACTGCTGGAGTGTACGTTAGTCTAACCACTCTGGAATACTGGTTAGCAGTATCTACTAAAGCTGCATGAACAAATTTCCCCTATGACCCAGGAATTTCACAGCTAGATATACATACACTGAAGAAAATACATTACATATATATGTGTGTGTGCACACAGAAGAATGTTCACAGATTCACTATTCATTATAGTCCAAAATTAGGAACAACCCAAATGAAAATAGTAGAATGGATAAATTGTGGTGTAGTCAAACAATCTTCATTAAAATGTTGCTACACAACAATATAGATGGATCTCACAAATATAATGTCAGAGAAAGAAGCAGACAAACAAGCAATTCTATATGATTCCATTTATATAAAGTTCAAACATTTTATTAAATTAAAAATCAATAGTGTTAAAATTCAGGACAGTGGTGATCCTTGTGGGAAAGGGGTGACTGGGAGGGACACAGGGCATGAGGGGGCTTTTGGGATACTGGTAATGTTTTGTAGCTTGATGTGGATGTTCGTTACATGAATATGTCACTTAGTGAAAACTCACTGGGCTATATAGTTACAAATTGGGCAGTTTTCTGTTTCTGTTATACTTCAATAGTTTAAAGAGAAAAAGCCTTTCAAAAAATTTTAATGTCATCTTTTGCTGTTGTTATTGTTGTTGTCCCCAAAGAAATGTTAGGGAATAAAAACAAAATATGATGTGAAATGAGATTCTGCTGAAGCCCCACCAGGAGTCTGGAGGTAAAATGGAGGATCCCCTCCTGTAGTTCCATTTCCTATGATCCCAATTCTTCTGAATTAAAACAACTCTAATCATAGAATAAAAGGTAAAGAAACAGACTTAGTCTAGGTAGGTGATAAATGATATAGAAATATTAAGAACCCCAAATAAATTATAAAAAATCATATTGACTTTATATAACTGTAGTTTTGTAATATTACCATCAGTTACAATTAAAAAGAAAAAAAATTTAAAAGAAAAAGAAAAAAATCTGGTAAAACAAAGTTTCATAGTTCAGCATTTTTAAATGGTAGCCTTACAAATGTATACAATATATACAACATTGGCAAAATTAAGCTGTTTTACTAATCAGTTTTAAAAGCGCTATAATTGTACAATATTTTAAACCACACTGCTATCAGAAAACATTTTTCTTCAATGTTACTTACTCAGTGTATTGTGGTCTGTGTGAATACCTTGTATAACAGATGTTCTGAGTACCAATTCAACATCAGAGCCTATTTTTATTAGCTGTGAAGAAAAACAAACAAATAAAATAAAATAAATCCTTCATGTGTTTTTTCAATGGTTCATATGAATAGACTGTTTCTGAAAACTATAGGTTTACTACAATTTCTTTTTAGGTAATATTACCTGTAACTTTTTGTAACCATTCCAAGTGCACAGAAAGCTCAGACATAGGTAATACTTTAAACTTTTATCCATCCATTCCATATTTTGTTCTAAAACAAATTTCGAGTATTTTTTGTTGTATCTTTACAACGTGTTTAAAACGCAGAGTTTTTTTTTGGCGGGGGGAGGGGGGATGGGATTGAATGTTTCTTTTATAGAGCTGGATGTTCTGAA